GAGAGATTGGGCAGCTGACAGCATTTGAAGGTCTCAGCACCTTACTGCTTACATACCATCACTACACTAGAGGATGAACATCCTCTGCTGTGTCACACACAGCATCGCAACAGCTAACAACCGCTAAACTTTCAATAGTCAAGTAGCAGACTAAGGCATGTTGCCTACCCATTCTCTCCACAACTTCACCTCGCAGAGACAGGAAAAAAGAATAAAATGGAAAATGACAATATAGTCTGAAAAGTAACTACATAAAAGTGTCATCACCTCATCCAGCAAGCCTGCTCCTTGCATGGTTTTCAGTCAGAGGCAGGAATCATAATACTTCTCTCTGGTGTTAGTTCAGCAGAGCCAGCAGCCCCCCTAGGGAGATCCCCCAGAGCCTATTCCTTGCCTGCAGGAGAGCTTGTCTCCAAAGATGAGGCGACATGGTCTGGCATCCTTTACTGCTCTGCGCGCCAAAAATGGCCCCCTTTCAGATCCCGAGAAAACATTACAGGATAGCATATTTGAAGAAAAGCCCTCAGCAAACTGAGTTGTGCTGAATTGAATCACAGCGTAGCCACGGACCTAAAGCCTTCCTGTGTAATGCACACAGAAATGCTTTTCTGAATGAACCTCACTTCTAAAAACCAAAGTAACACATGGGCAAAACAACGATGCAGAGAAGAGTGATTCAGGCACAAAGGTGGATGTGCAGCTTGTTCTGGTCTTTTTTTGGTATTAGTGATGACAGAAGCCATGAACTTCAAGTAAGCATCTAAACATGCATTGTATGATTGCAATATAAAACAGATGCTAGTTATTTCTCATGCAAACCTATGGCAATGCAGGCTAACAAGTGCACGGGATGCCTAATTAAAAATATTGGTAGTGTTTAGTTGCAATATCAATTGCTAGAACAAGAGAACAGTAGTAATGTCTAGGCACTTAAAAGTTGACCGAGAATTCAACAGTGCTTTCCCATGCTGCCTGAAAAATATATCATCCAGTCTACAGTGGTATCAAACGCTTATTTCTAGGATTTAGAAACATGACAATAAAAGGGAGAAAATGTGATCTGCATGCAGGTTAGCCTTTCTGTGAGCTATCTGCGTGTCAAGAATATTTTCAAACTTCATTAACATAAACAAGGAGAGGGAGGGAAAAGAGAGTTCACCCCAGAAGAAAACAGCATCAAAATCAGTCTGTGCTGATTAAGCCTATGACAAAATGAGCAAGACAATGACCAAGGAAAGGATTTTGTAGGGATTCCCATTGCTTCTCCCTAGGGTTAATTATTTGGATGCAGAAAATGCACAACAACCTGGAAGGACAAGAACTGAACTTGCTTCCCAGGCCTTGCCACCTTTAATACCCATGACTGCTGACACTGAGAAGTCAGGTTAAAGTGTAGGTGACCTGCCAGAGCACGGTGCTTGCCATGGGATAGTTGTTTTCTGCTGACTGAGAACAAAGGAAGACAGCCCATAGTCCCAGGACCCGCAGGCTGCCCTGGTAACTGCTAGGACTCCAGTAGTGTGTGCCACCTGCAGACCTGCGTCCCCTTCGATTCCTTCATTTCCTGCCAATGACTTTGCTCTTCCTCTCCGCTGCTATTCTGACCCATAGAAATCCAGCCAATCATCTCTTTGCGCTTCATGCTGCGTCTGTTGTACACGGAGATCATCAGCGTGACATCAGAGAGCTGGAAGAGGGCAACTTGGAAGATGAAAGTTTCCTTGTAGACAGGGTTGGGCTGTCCTCGACGGATGGAGGTCTTGCAGCGAGACATCTCCTGACCCACAGAGTTGAGCAGGCAGAGCTTTCCGTAGGTGTCTAGGACAAAAAAAGAGAAATAATATGTTTGGCACAGGTGACAGACTAAATGAAAACTGCAAGCAGTCAAAAAACACCCAAAACCCCCCTCCAAATAGAGCAGCTTTGTCTGCAATGAATAACAGAGGAGGTCTGGACTGCTCTCCCTAGTAAAATCTGTGGGATGAGAAGCAGCAGGTGACAGCACATCTTGGATTTCCTCATATTCAGCTGTGGAGAAAAAGGAAACTGATGCGTGTTTCAGCCCTACTCTCTTGGAAAGAGCAGGAAATCTGGTTCCCAAGCCTAGCAAACCTAAGACTACCCAAAACTATGAGCATCTCTATGGATTCTCCACATCAAATTATGTGTCTTCACCTTCCCTTCTTCCCCCCCACAATCAAGCTTTGTTTGGGGCTGTCTTACCAGGGCTTCCCTGGGCTGCACTTGCCTCTCCACCACTCTCCTTTGGAAGAATGCCTCTATGACCTATTATTTGAGATAGCAATCAAAAAGGGTCCTGAATAAGAGGGAAAGGAAACTGCATACATAGTGAAATGATTTGATCTCACGTGATAGTTTCAAGGCTCTTTCCAAATTCTCATCTTATTTTTTTGGTGGACTCAAGGTCAATTTTATCCACTATTTAAGTCAATACAAGGGGTAAAAATCCTTAGTAGATACAGGGAAGAGACGGTCCAAGTCCATATTCTTGTAAATCCATGCTTAAAACTCTTGCTGCCTCCTGTATGTTATGTGGTCGCTAACACTGTGGTCTCCAGCAGAGCTCTGTGGTCACAATGCTCCACAGACCCAGCTCAATGTATGTTTTCACCTTGCTCTGCATGTGATGGTAACAGATCACTTGGCTAGAAAAGTCCCTTCCTAACCCTTTTGCAATCCATGCCTGGGTTTCTGCAAATGAGTAGTATTTCAGAGCGTGCTGAAGATAGGAAATAAATAACAAGCCTCCATCTCTTGTCTACAGCATGTCTATCCTCTTCTGTTCCCGTTTGATGTGCTATTTTACGCACTTATCTACTGAGCAACACAAGGTGTGAAATTACACTTCAGGTGTGAAAACACTTCTGTGTCTCCAAAGCAGGGCTTTCCGCTCTTCTCAAACTGTTCCCCTGAAAAAGCTGTCAGGAGACTGACAATCGAGGAGCAAATTGTGAGCCTGCACAGCTGCACAGCTATCAAGTTACTGCGGGGAAAGTTCAGTCCAGCCATTAGCTGGGGGTGACAGCCTGGCTCCCAGCATAACCCTGGAGATGAAGTAGACCTTGCCAACAAAGACCTACTCATTAGACAGAAAAGCAGAGCTCTGACATGAAACAGTTTCCTGTTGTATCTGGGAAGGAAAGAACTGCTTTATCAAGAGGTGGATTAATGCCCACAGTAATATTCAATGTTGGTGGTGCTGAGGGACTGAAATCTGTAACAACTTTAGACCCATCAGAAACACAAAGCCCAAGAGAGGATGCTCTCTTCTAGCTTGACTCAATGTGAAACCGTGCAAGATAACTACCAGACACAATCTCTTGCAGTACTCGTAGAGATGTCACTTTGCTTTGCACTGACAAACCATAATGCACACAGAAGCATTCCTCATGTGGAAGTCCTTGCTGCTGGTCTGAGGCTGAGGGGAACTCCCCAGAATCAAAGATAAGTGGGGAGTAGGAGTTTTATGGATTTTTTTAATGTATTCACTCTGCTTTTTGTGAGGAGAGGTTTTCAAAATAGTGAAAAATCTCTGTCAGGCTGATTTTTAAATAAAAACAAGCAGCTTAATTAGTACAATTCCCTGCTTGAATTTTAAAATTTTTCTTTCAAACTGAAAGCTTACATTTTCTACATAATTTCAGTGCATTTCCCAAACCAATCTCATCTACAGGCAGAAAGCTGAAGGAGCTTGTTTCTGCTGACACACAAGAGAGAGTGAGTGCTAAATAGAGTGCCCAATACCTCTGTTTTTCTCTAGATATGTCCTTGGTGTCATATCGCTTTCCCCATTGCCCTCTGAGAACTACTTTGCTGAGGGTGAGGGCATTTGATTGGGATCACAGTAGGGGCTGGGAACGGTCAGCAAGGGCAGAGCTGAGGCATGGAGCAGCCCCTGGGAGGGTTTCCCTGGCTGTACTGGGGCAGAGGATGGGCAGAGCAGAGAAGCAGTACGCAGCCAAGGACTGCTACAAACACCCTCACAACTATCCCACCTGAGCATGGCAATGCGCAACATAACTAACAGCAGATGAAGTACTTTTTTAGCTTATCTTCCCATGCTACTTAAAAGAAAGGTCACCCACACGTGCCTGTATCTCTTTTTCTGAGAAGATGGGGAGAGGACTGAGGTCTAGATTTCCTAGCATCCTTCCTTCTGACTGCTGCCAGCACTGGCAGCTCAGGTAGGATTCATCACACCTAACTGCAGGAACATTCATTTGAGCAGACCCTAAAGGGGTAAACCTATCTATAATCAATACCACCAAAGAAGCATATGGCCTAATTCAGCAGTGGCCTAGTAGACTGTACTGGGTTTGGATGGCAAGGCTTTGGTAGCTGTGGGGCTACAGGGGTGGCTTCTGTGAGAAGCTCCTAGAAGCTTCCCCTGTGTCCGATGGAGTCAATGCCAGCCGGCTCCAAGCTGGCCCTGCTGCTGGCCAAGGCCGAGCCCATCAGCAACAGTAGTAGTGCCTCTGGGATAATGTATTTAAGAAAGGGAAAAAACATTACTGCACAGGAGCAATTTCAGCTGGAGAGAGGAGTGAGAATATGTGACAGAAACAACTCTGCAACCTCCAAGTCAGTGAAGAAGGAGGTGGAGGAAGTGCTCCAGGCACTGAAGCAGTGATTCCTCTGCAACCTTTGGTGAAGACCATGGTGAGGCAGGCTGTCCCCCTGCAGCCCACAGAGGTTAATGGTGCAGTAGATATCCACCTGCAGCTGTGGAGAACCCCATGCCAGAGCAGGTGGATGCCCAAAGGAGGCTGTGACCCCATGTGAAACCCGTGCTAGACTTCTGGCAGGACTTGTGGACCCATGAAGAGAGGAGCCCAGGCTGCAGCAGGTTTGCTGGCAGGACTTGTGACCCTGTGGGGGACCCATGCTGGAGCAGTCTGTTCCTGAAGGACTGCACTCTGTGGAAGGGACCCACACTGGAGTAGTTCATGAAGAACTGCAACCCGTGGGAAGGACTCACGTCGGAGAAGTTCGTGGAAGACTGTCTCTGGTGGGAGGGACCCCACACTGGAGCAGGGGAAGAGTGTGAGGAGTCCTCCCCCTGAGGAGGAAGGAGCAGCAGAGACAATGTGCGATGAACTGACTGTAATCCCATTCCCCTGTGCCGCTCAGGGGGAGGAGGTACAGAAATCAGGAATAAAGTTAAGCCATGGAAGAAGGGAGGAGTGGGGCGAAGGTGTTTTTAAGATTTGAGTTTATCTTTTGTTACCCTTCTCTGTTTTGATTGGTAATAAATTAAACTAATTACCCCAAGTCAAGTCTGTTTTGCCCATGACGGCAATGAGTGAGTGATCTCTCCTTGTCCTTATCTCAACCCACAAGCCTTTTGTTACATTTTCTCTCCCCTGTCCAGTTGAGGAGGGGAGTGATAGAGAGGCTTTGGTGGCACCTGGCAGCCAGCCAGGGTCAACCCACCACATAGACAATGATCCCATTACAGATGATTTAGATTTAAACACTAAAGCAAGTGCCACAGCTAAAACACATCATAGGGTGCTGTTTCAGGATGTCCCAGTTAATTTTCCAGGCAATGAATGGATGGGTTTTCTGCAGCCATAAACTCTAGGATGTCACATCCCTGACTGAGGCCTCAACTTTTGCAAGTGAGGAGTAATACAGCTGGCTTTAAAGAAAACCGAGCATCGCACGACCAATGACTTAAACCCAACAGAGATCAAAGTCAGAAAATTAGGCTTTTTCTTTAATACACAGCAGATCTGTTACATAATTCTGCACCAAGATCCTGTCTATACAGTACCAAGGTCGGTGGGAATTCTGCATATATCGTCTGGATCAGGCGAGAACTTGCAGGCTGGAAGGTGACTACGCTCAGGGCAGAGCTAATACCAGGAGCTCTATTCATACCCACGTAAACAGAGGCACAAAACCAGTGTAAGTGACAACTAAATCAGGCTTCTAAGTCTTCTCAAATTTATTCCACTGGATGTATTTTATGAGCCAAAAGAATCAAGCTTGCCTGAACTGAAATAAAAGAGTAGGTGTGGATAATATATTTAGCATCTGAAGATTTGGTTTGCAGAGCTGGTATGTATGAGGCTGAGCTGTTATTCTGCTTCACTACCTACATTTTAAGATTGTGGTTTGCCCTTACTGCATTGTGCTCCTTGCAGCATCTTTTTAAATGTCTCATCTGAAAACACTTCCTAGTTCTCCTTGTGGTCCAGTCCGGTCCTCTGAGATGGAAAGCTCTCTCCTCCAATCAGCTTTGGCAAAGAAAATCCATCCCCAGATACACAGTGAAAAGCAAGGATGAACTTGAAAATTTACTGAGGATAGTATGTGTGAGAGCATCTATTCATTATGAAGGCAAACATTTTCCATTTAATTACACGCTCAGATTCAGTAATGGCCTCATTACTGTGGCATCTCAGCACTCTATGCACTTCAGTGTATTTACTTTCATGCCACCTCTGTCAAGCACAAAAGAAGAAGAGAGATTAAGGCTTACATTCTTTAAAATGCCTGAGTGCTCACCTTCTATTTAGGCACCTATCTCACTGACATGAAGAAAAGCGAGACCACTAAACATCTGGGAGTGTCTGAGACTGCAGCTTCCCCACGGTTACACAAAAGTCTGTGAAGAAGCAAGAAAAAGTCTGATTTTGCTGAGACCAATTTTAGCACTGCATACACCAGGCTCTCCTTTCCATATAGCCTTTGGAACAGAAGTTCTTGCTACAGATCATTTTTACTCTAAACTCATCTTTCATCTCTGGTATGGGTGGATTGAACAATGTTCACGTATACATAAAATATCG